ATCCTGACTTTTCCAGGTCACTCCCAACCTAATGTAGTTATCCTGTTTCCCCTCCATACATACATTCATACTCATAAGTCTGTACCCTGGTTTGGGATTCTGAAATAAGGCCACCTTACCTATAAACCACCGAACAAACGCCTAATCACCCCTTGCATAGTTCTAGTTTAAGTGTAGGACCCAGCCCTTAAAGTGGTGCTTCCCCCATTTCACTCAGAAGACAGACAGCATGGCTCATTCATGCAACACTATTACATTGTATTATTTTATCCATATGTATCAGTTGCCCCAACTGGCTTATCAGCCCCTTGAAGGGATGTGTTTTGGTTATCTTTGTCTTTCCTCAGCTTCCAGCTCAGCACCTGTACTAAGCACTCCCAAACACTGTTGGCGCGAGTGTAAATCCATGCATCTTTAAGAATACTTTACCAATGAGATCCAGCAATTCCACTTATAGGAATTTGTCCTGAAGATACACATTCACAAATGAGGAATGATATACATATTATGAGATGCTCATTTCATCAATACTTATAATAGCAAAAACCTGAAAACCATTAGTAGGGACTGGATAAACTAATTATGATAAATTTATACGAGATACTATCCAGCCATAGGAAGAACAAGGTATGTTTGTGTATACCGACATAAAAAGAGGTCTAAGTGGTATAGTACATTCTATTACCCAAAGCAATATACAGATTTAATGCAACCCCCAATGTCATTTTTTAAAGAAATACAATGAAAAATCATCAGATTTGTATGGAACCACAAAAGACCCCGAATAGCCAAGGCAATCCTGAGAAAAAAGAATGAAGCTGGAGGTATCACACTACCTGACTTCAAATTATACTATTGAGCTACGATAATCAAAACAGCATGGCATTTGCAGACACACAGAATGGAACAGAATAGAGAGCCCAGCTATAAAACCACATGTATACGGACAAATAATTTTCAACAAAGGAGCCAGAAACACACAATGGAGTGAAAATACTCTCTTCAATAAATGGCGCTGGGAAAACTGGAAAGCCATATGCAAATGAATGAAAGTGGATTACAGTTTGTCCCATGTACAAAAATTAATTCAAAATGTATCAAAGACCTAAATATAAGACCCGAAACAAGTTACATAGAAGAAACTATAGGTACCAAACTTATGGACCTTGGTCATAGAGAACATTTTATGAACTTGACCCCAAAGGCAAGGGAAGTAAAGGCAAAAATAAATGAATGGGACTATATCAAACTAAAAAGCTTCTGCACAACAAAATAAAGAAGCAGCCAACCAGATGGGAGATATTTGCAAACAGTAGCTCTGACAAAGGTTTAATTTAAAGAATATATAAAGAACTCATAGCCCTAGCTTGTTTGGCTCAGTGGATAGAGCGTCCGCCTGTGGACTGAAGGGTCCTAGGTTCGATTCCGGTCAAGGGCATGTACCTGGGGTAGTGGGCTCAATCCCTAGTAGAGGTGGCCGATCAATGATTCTTTCTCATCATTGATGTTTCTATTTCTCTCTCCCTTCCTCTCTGAAATCAATAAAAATACATTTTTTTTTAAAAAAAAGAACTCATAAAAATCAACACCAGACAAACCACCCAATCAAAAAGTGGGCAGAGGACCTGAAAATACTCCTCTCTCAAGAAGACACAGCCAATAGATATATGAAAAGATGTTCAACCTCACTGGTAATTAGGGAAATGCAAATCAAAACTACAATCAAAAACCCCCTTATAGCCCTGACTGGTTTGGCTCAGTGGATAGAGTGTCGGCCTGTGGACTGAAGGTTCCAGGGTTCGATTCCGGTCAAGGGCATGTACCTTGGTTGTGGGCAAATCCCCAGTGGGAGGTGTGCAGGAGGCAGCTGATTGATGTTTCTCTCTCATCGATGTTTCTGACTCTCTCTCTCTCTCCCTCCCTCTCTGTAAAAAAATCAATAAAATATATTTTAAAAACAACAACAACAAAAAACTCTTATACCTGTTAGAGTAGCCATTGTCAATAAGACAAGCAATAACAAGTGTTGGAGAGATTGTGGAAAAAAGGGAACCCTCATCTATCGCTGGTGGGAATGTAGATTGGTACAACCACTATGGAAAGCAGTGTGGCGATTCCTCAAAAATTTGAGAATAGAGCTACCATACGACCCAGCAATCCCTCTCCTGGGTATATACCCAAAAAACTTGAAATCACAAGCTATATGCACCCCTATGTTCATTACAGCATTATTCATGGTGACCAAGACATGGAAACAACCAAAGTGCCCTGCAATAAAGGACTGGATGAAGAAGATGTGGTACATGTACACAATGGAATACTAATTAACCATAAGAAAGGATGAAATAGCTCCATTTGCAACAACATGGATGGATCTTGAGAACATTATGCTAAGTGAAATAAGTCAGTCAGAAAAAGCTAAGAATTATATGACTTCACTCATATGTGGGATATAAAACTGAAACTTGTGAACACAAACAGCAGTGTGGTGGTTGCCTGAGGGAAGGGGGTGGGAGGAGGAAGGGGTCCTAATATATGGTGACAAGGGGATCTGACTTAGAGTAGTAAGCGTATGGTGTAACATACAAATCTTATAACATAGAAACCCACACCTGAAACCTATGTATTCATGTTGACCAATGTCACCCCAATAAATTTAATTTTAAAAAAGTGGTATACATTCTTACGATATATATGAGCTAGTACAGAAAATCTCTGAAGGGAACACAAGGTACTTAAGAGTGGTGGCCTCAGGGGAGGGGGCAAAAAGTCCAGAGTGGGATGGAGGCATATTTTTCATCATATGCACTTTTGAACTGTTTAAATTTATTATTAATTTATTTTTTAGCATTTATATATATATATTGATTTTTCATAAAACAAAAAATCTATTATAAAAAATGAGAAGTGAAAAAAGCAAGGTTATAAAAGTATGAATAGTTTGATTCCTATTTATATAAAAGAAAGAAAAATATATTTGCATGTTTGAAATTTAGAAAATTTGTGGCAAGATATATATGAAACTTATCAATGGGACAAGATAGGGGAAGATTTTTTATCTTCCATCATGCATCCATCCTTTTGTACCATCCTTTTGTTGTTAATCCTCACCTGAGGATATTTTTTCCATTGATCTTTTTTTTTTTAAGAAAAGAGTGGCAGGGAGGGAGTGATGGAATTTTAAGAACTGTGATAAGTAAGGGGCCTAGGAAATACCTGATGTTCATAATGAAGCCATGCTAACTGAAATGTTCTCTCTCCAGGGGCATATAACTGCCAGAGATAAGCAATCTGAAGTTTCAAGTCCTATCTCTAAGTTGGGGAAAAGCAAGACATTGATCTCTAAGAGGCAATGGAAAAGGAAGGAACAATGATGATTAGGTAGGATCTCTTTGACCAGCCAGTGGGAGCTGCCCAGGGTTCAGAGCCTCTCTTCTCTTAGGAAGGCCAGATCTATATGGAGAGCAAGGAATGGCTGCACAATTCAAACTTAAGATAAACCTAACTTATCTTTATCGAAGAAAGTCAAATTGGCAAATTTAGGAACAGAATATCTACAACAGAAGATCCTAAATGAACTATGGTTTAGACATGATTAAAAAAAATCGTAAAACACATACAAACAAAAAATCTATATATTCATGTGTATATATACATATATGCCTTGAAAAATCTATAAGGGTATACACCAAATTATTATTATTTTTAAAAAATATGTTTTTTTATTCATTTCAGAGAGGAAGGGAGAGGGAGAGATAGAAACATCAATGATGAGAATCATTGATAGGCTGCCTCTTGCACGCCCCACACTGGGGATTGAGCCCGCAACCCAGGCATGTGCCCTGACTGGGAATTAAACTGTGACCTCCTGGTTCATGGGTCAATGCTCGACCACTGAGCCACAACAGCTGGGCTACACCAAACTAAGTCATTACTAAGCCTGAGGAATAGAAACTTTAACTTTCTCCTTTTACATTTCTGTATTATTTGATATTTTAAACACTACTTTTGTAATTAAAAACAAAATGTAGAAAAATCTTCGTAATTTTCAAACTTCTTATGGTCACAGAAAAATATATTCAAATACTTTTCTATAAGATTTTAATTTCGACTTAAAGACTGTTTTCATAAACAGTGGCTTCCCATCTGTCTGGGTGGTTAAATACAGTTTTGCTTGGATACAGAGATAGACCTCAGAATCCTTCAAGGTTGTTTCAATCTCTGAATTTCCTATAAAGTAAGGTAAGCAATTAATCAGAAAAGCAGGGTTGTTTTTTTTCCTGACACCCAGCAGGCTGATGGTGTTATTGGACAAATTCCCCCAAATGAGGTGATGAGCCTTTTAGAAAATGGCTTCCCAGTACTCCTTGACTACTGTTTTCATTACTGAAAGACACACACAATCTCTCGTCCTCTCTAAATCTGTTCAACGAACCTGAACCAGGCAGCTCAGCTTCAGCCAAAGAGCCAGGGGAAGCCCCGAGGCAGCTGAGTTCTGCACCACTGCCACTTATAGTCTGGGATTCAGACTTGGGAGAACAAATACTGGAGAAATAAATCGCTCTGCTGTTATTAAATCATAGATGCTGGAGTGGGGATAGGGTGCAAGGGTCTGGCACCGATGCCACCTGCTACGTGCGGGAGCTCAATTATACGGTTACATTCACTACTCCTGTCGAGGGACAGGCAGGGAGGAGGGGTGCTGATATAACCTTTGGTTGCCTGGGAGAGCCGTTGGCAGCTGTGGTTTTTCTAAACTGGTAAGCTCTCCTTTGGAAAGTCATTCCCTATCCTATGAATCTTTCCCACAGGAACAGCTGCATTTGCTCATTCTGGCTCTTCACATTTTAATGTGGTTCTGAAGCTAAGCAGCGGACAGATGACTTAGGCATCAGACACCCTCATTTAAGCCCTGAACAAGCTGTCTCAGAGACTTCTACCACATGAGGCCCAAAGAAAAATAGATAATGAAATGAAGTCACTTGCCGCTGGGAAACAAATGTGGGAACATTTATGCAGTTGTTTTTATTTACTCAACTCTAAAGATTGACTGCGGCAATTTTTTGATGAGTAACACTTAGATTAACACTAATTACATAGCTATAAATTTGATTCAGGATAAGAATACGATTTAGAATGAGAATAATAACAACAAAAATCTTCAAACATTAAAGCAAAGAAATACTTTTCCCCCTCTTTTAACTTTAAATAAATGCTATTTTCCCATGGACTTCCCTAGACACGTTTGCAGTCTAAGGAAATTAAGGAAACAAAACTTTGGATATTTTGAAGAAACTGCAGGTTAAGCTATCATGCCAAGCGGGAGACTGAAACCCTGATCTGAGTGTCAATCTCAGGCACTTTGTGAGAGGCAGATTCTTAAATATTTCCTAGTCTTTTTTCCTTTTCACCAATTAAATTTTCCACTTCTCTGACTAATTCAGTGCAGTACACAATCCCCTCAGTGCCTCTCCTGGTTAAACTGTTGTTTAGAGGGAACCTGACAGGCATGTGTGGCTCCTCTTAGACTGGAAAGGCAGTAGGACTAGCTCCGACCCATCCACTCCTGAGAGCCTAACCGTGGGGGCTGCTGAGGACGGCTTCTGCGGGCAACTGAAAGGCCTGGTGCCCCGGGAAGAACACTGCTTACCCTTGGGAAACTTGGCCATCATTGCCCATGATTCCTGGTAGAAATGACCAATCAGAATGAATCCAAATCACGGGGAAAGGTCAAGGGAAAAAAAAGATTGCCCTCCAAAAATAAGGAGGAAAGAAATATTTAGAATGGTAAAAAAACTGATATGGGAAAACGTCTTTCTGTTATTAAATCTAACTATAAGTTTCCTAAAGTCCAGTTATCAAGTTGAATTATGTGGGATAAAGGAGAAAGGCCAATTGGAATTTCCCTCAAGAGTTCACAGCTGCAGGATGAGAGGTCCTGGGTTTGCGCTGGGGGAGTGGGCCCCTTTTGAATGAGGGCTTAGGTGGGCTGGGTTCCATGCTGGCTCCAGTTCCATTGCTCCCTGCAGAGAGCGCCTGGCCCCGTTCACTAGCATTTCCTGGTGCCTGGGGTTGTGAACTCTGATACCTGGAACCAGATGAATACCATGAGCTATTTCTGTAACGACCCATACTGTCATGTTGTCCTTGGTTCGTGGGGTCACTGAACTTTTGGCCTTGCGGCCTGCAGCCTTGTCCTCCTCGTCGGTTCCCCGGCAACACCTAAGGACGAAAGAATATGATGTCCAAAACACTCTGGCATTGTGGTACTCCATTTATTCCAGTTTAGTTAATGGGAGTATTCTGACAGCATAATTGTGGTAGTCCATACTCGGGACTCAGTGATCTCTCAAGATTCACAGAATTCTGCCTAATTCAACCTAGCCACTGCATCAGAAATGATCATTCTTTCACTATTTTTCCCTGCCTTTCACCCCTAGGCTCTTCTCCACTGAAGAGGAGTTCACTTTTCTTTAGCTGGGCACATGCTAAAGAAGGAAGAACATTCCTTGGGTTGTTACAAGCCCTCAATTGGGCAAGTATCTTATCACATGTCTGAGCTTTGCAGATAATAAATAATTTGTAAAGATAATGAACATTTGTTATAATAAAATAAACATCATTATGATCTGCTTTGCTATATAAACCATAGATTCAATCACACTGCTATGACATGCAGTACATTTTTACATTACAACCCAGGAAGTTTATGGCATGGGATTTAATTTTGTCTTCCAATTTCAATTCTGAAGAATTACTGACAGCACTGCTTTCAATTGCTCTTGTGTATCTTTTTCAAACCAAGGAAAAGAAACTATGGATTATGCTTCAACTTTCTAGTGTTCACTCCCTATGGAACCAAGTTCACACTCTCTCCGGTATATTCTATGTTGTACTTCTAAGGAGTTGCTGCTTCATTCTGGTGAACCTGCCACTGTGGTATTTATCTACCTTGAGATGGGTGCACAACTCCCACTGTGACTAATTACCAGGCGTTACTACCTACGACAGCTAGAATCACTGCCAACATCAGAAAGTCAGCAGTCTTGGCAACAGGAAATCTAAACTGGCTGGTGGTTTGGAACATACATACCAAATGCTTTCTCTGGAACTAACAGGCTGGAGGGATTCAAAATAGGTGTGGAATGGGAATAAAGAGAGGAAGGTAATGTACTGAACTGTCAGCACTTAAGCAGTGACAATCTATATATTTAAAAAAAAAAAGAAAAAAGAAAAAAATAAACTGTGCCCTAACCGGTTTGGCTCAGTGGATAGAGCGTCAGCCTGAGGACTGAAGGGTCCTGGGTTTGATTCCGGTCAAGGGCATGTACCTTGGTTGCAGGCACATCCCTAGTAGGGGGTGTGCAGGAGGCAGCTGATCGATGTTTCTCTCTCATTGATGTTTCTAGCTCTCTATCCCTCTCCCTTCCTCTCTGTAAAAAATCAATAAAATATTTTAAAAAATAAAATAAAAAATAAACTGTGAAAATCTGGTAGCTTTCTTCCTGACTAGCTCAGTGTGGAAGCCAGGTTACCTGGCGATGAGGCTGATAGGACCGGCCACTGGAGTCTGCTCTGCCTGCAGGAGTCTCTCCTGGTGCCGAGTTTTTCTTGTTAGTACTTGTAAGGCTGGGACCAGAGGCACAGGTGGAAGCAGCAGCAGCAGCAGCAGCAGGGGCATCACACAGGCTACTCAGGGACACAGATGTAACTGAGCTACATCGCGATCGGGTTGAATAGCTGTTCTTTGGATGGGACACTGAAACAAATATAAGAAATATGCGGTCATATGATGAAAGAGGATGAAGGGTAAGGTTTTCCCCATTTCACAAGAGCAATTTAAGATAAAAAACGCTTATACATAAAATGGGTAACAAAAAGGAAAATCTCCCTTCTGCCCTCTTCCTCCAAATTCCCACTGCTCTTAGAAATAAGCCAATAGTTCAAGACCAGAGTGACCTATCCCCCCACCAACTAGTGCCTTCCTGACACTTCCTACTACCTAAGGTCCTGGCTCTTCCTACTACCTAAACCTAGGAATAACAATATAAGCCATACATACAGTTCCTATGTGAGGAACACTCTAAAGTACAGACAAAGGAACACTACAAAGAAAGACAAAGGTAAAGAGTTAATCTTTTTAAAAAATTTTGAATGATGCACAGTATAACTAATCAAGATTAGTTAATATGAACAGAACTAGTCTTTACAACAAACATGTATCTTCCTAGGATTCTTTCGCAAAAATAATCCCAAACTTAAAATACCAATTTAGCTGAAAAATATTAACATTTTCAATTCGAATTTTGTCAGAATTCAATGGTTTAAAGCTCCCCATTAGATTTTTTTCTTGGTGTTAAGCCTGGACTAGTGCTGAGTTCACAATCACTGCCCTAGAGCCAACATTTCACTTTCATACTGAGATGGAAAGAACCAAGGAGCTGAGCTCAGGATTGGTGGCACACAAATTCTCACCTTAGAGGCACCACCCTCTTTGAAGCTATTGTTTTATCACCTATTGTATGCCAGGCAAGATAGGTATTATTATCTCCATTTTAGAGAGGAATAAAATGAGGTTCCAGAGGAATAAAATGAGTAGAGGCAAACTTGGTCTGACTCCAGAGCTCCATGCTCTTTATACTTCATATCATACACTCTCAACTCAACAGAGAATGGATGAAAAAAATGTTATTGCAAATTTAGGGAGCCCATCCTCAGTGCTCCAAGCATCTGCATCCACTGACTTCTTAAAGATCTCAGAGCTACTTTTCATAAAAACAAACAAAACACAAGAGGCACGAAAGAAGAATCAGAAGAGAAGCCAACCAGCACTTCAGTCTCTAATTAGTACAGTGGGTCTTCTCATCGCCATCTCCAGTGCCCGGAATCTCTTGCTATCTCACCTTGTCCAAATGAATCAATGTTCTTCTTTAGGGTCTCCACGTCACAGGTGAACCGGGCTACTCTTCCCAGATCCTCGTCATATTTACGTTCGCTAACAAAGTGCTGGAAAAAGGGCAAAGAAAAGCCTCCAGGTGAGACATGCAGTACACATGGGATCTACAGCTTGCTATGTATGAATGAAACAGAATTATTTTCAATTGAATTATTTTTATTGCTTCAAAGTTTGCTCAATGGCCACAATATTACCAATGCTGAGTGACTGACAAAATTCAGTCATTTTCTTCAAAGCCCAAAGAGAAGTCTATTTAGGAGCTTTATGAAATACTACATGATGGTCAAAGCCCACTAAGTATAATCACAAGAAACTGCAGAGAAAGGAGAAAGAATTTATAGAGGGCCACTTTCCGCTATTGGCTACTCTCCACATTGTTTCATTTTATACATTTTATATAGCTCACAGTTTATAAACAGAGGCAGCAGCAAAAAAACACTCTTAAGTTACAACAATGATTCCATTTAAATAGATGGTCTGGTTCTTTAGTAAAAACTTCCTTAGGAAACCCACTTCAACTCTTTGTAAAGTAGAATTTGTTAGTCCTTGAAATAGAAACAATTTCTTGAGATGGAAAATCATTCATGTGAAAAAGTCAACTTCACAAACGAGAAGTTTGTGCTGCATATAATTTAACCCTTTTAAGCTGACTGAGTTGAGAAGTAGTCAACCCCTTGGGTCAAAAACTAACTATACTACAGAGAGTGAGGGACTAAATACATGTTAGGAATAAAGTGTTTCTGAGGGTCTATTTCAATAAACAATTTCTAACGTAGCCTGGAATCACTTTAAGATGAAAAGGAGATGAAAAGAAAAGTTATAATTCTTCTAGATAAAATTCAGAAGAAATGAACTCCTTAGAGCAGTCTTGGGAGTGGTCTAATTCCACTTTGGATGTTCAAGGGGAAGAACTGAATGCATCAGAATCCTTGAGATGTGTCTAGCAGTGAAAGGGAAAGAAGAAATAAAAATTACCGCTGGCCTTTGAAGCCCTAAAGCTTCAGGGAAGCACACAAAGCTCTGTGACAAAGCCTTCAACATGTAATATCAGTCTGAGATTAAGTCTGAAACAAATTCTAGAGTTTGTTGAGCCAAAGACATAACAGGAATGACGGAAATAAAATGATCTGGAAATCAGACATTTAAATTGCATAGCACCCACTTCAGTACACTCAAAATGTGGAGAGAAACAGATCCTTAGTCAGCCTGCAGAAATATTTCTAGCAGCTTTTCAACCACGCGGGAAGGAGAACAGATGAAGGCTGTAAGAGCCAGAATTCTCATCTTAATTCCAAAGGGGTTTCCGGCTTCTCCCAGATAGTTGAATGAGACTGATTGGCATCACTATGAAGACGACTTTCTATAAAATTTAGTAACATAGTTTTAGTTAATCAGAAAATGGTAATTAAAAATTTGCATTGTTTTGCTATTTCACCCCAATAGAGTCTAAGTGGAAGAAGTGAGAGTAATAACATAACCTAGGGTTTGTGTAAAATACTGAATCAGAGTGATGACAAAGATACCTGTAAGGGCTTAGGTGATCTTCCATCTATGTTTTTATTTTACAAAGGCTGTTATATAGCCTCTGCAGCAAGTATTCCACTTAAATACAGCAATAAACCTCATGTATTCAGAAAGAACAGAAGTTAAGGGCTCAGGATTAGAGAAGGCCAACTCCCCTTGTCTATAAAGCTCATAGTTTATAAACAATTTTTTAGAACCCCAGTGTCTCCAACTATCAATGAATACCCTGACCTCTCTAAGGTTCCCATGCTTAGTTTCAGAAACACTGCTCTTTCTTTCTTTCGTTTCTTTCTTTCTTTTTTTGTTTTGTTAATCTTCATCCGAGGATATTTTTTTCCATTGATTTTTTGTTTTAAGAGGGGGGCAGGGGGGAGAGAGAGAGAAACATTGATGTGAGAGAGACATATGCATTTGTTTCTTCCTGCACATGCCCCAACTGGGGCTGGGGATTGAACCTACAATCCAAGTATGTGTCCTTGACCGGACTCAAACCCATGACCCTTCAGTGTGTGGTCCGACGCTCTAACCCAGTGGTTCTCAACCTTGGCTGCACATTAGAATCACTGGGAATCTTTTAAAATCCTGATTTCTGGGCCTCATCCTCCGGGAAATTCTGTTTCTTTATTATGGGGTGCGGCCACAACATTAGTAACAAAGAGACAGAATTTTCAGAGGATGAGGCTCAGAAATCAGGATTTTAAAAAGATTCCCAGGTGACTCTAATGTGCAGCCAAGGTTGAGAACCACTGCTCTAACCACTTAGAAACACTGGCCAGGGCAGAAACACTGTTCTTTAGCTAAGAATTTAAAAAGTACACGTGTTAAGAACCCTAAAGATACCACCAAAAAACTACTAGAACTGATAAATGAAACCAGTAAAGTAGTAGGAAACAAAATAAATATTCAGAAATCAGTTGCATTTTAATACACCAATAATGAACTAATAAAAAGGGAAACTAAGAAAACAATCCCATTTACAATTGCATCAAAAAAATAAAAATGCCCAGCCAGCGTGGCTCAGTGGTTGAGCGTTGACCTATGAACCAGATTCGATTCCCTGGTCAGGACATATGCCCAGGTTGCTGGCTCGATCCCGTGTGGGGTATGCAGGAAGCAGCCAATCAGTGATTCTCTCTCATCATTGATGTTTCTATCTCTCTAGCCTCCTCCCTTCTTCTCTGAAATCAATAAAACTATATTAAAAAATAATAAAATCAATAAAAATTAAATACCTAGGAATAAATTTAACCAAGGAGGTAAAAGACCTATACTTGGAAAATTATAAGACACCAAAGAAAGCCCCAACCGGTTGGCTCAGTGGACAGAGCATCGGCCTGTGGACTCAAAGGTCCCAGGTTCGATTCCGGTCAAGGGCATGTACCTTGGTTGCGGGCACATCCCCAGTGGGGAGTGTGCAGGAGGCAGCTGATCGATGTTTCTCTCTCATCGATGTTTCTAACTCTCTATCCCTCTCCCTTCCTCTCTGTAAAAAATCAATAAAAATATATTTTTAAAAAAAAGACACCAAAGAAAGAAATTGAAGAAGATACAAATATAGGGTGGGCAAAAGTAGTTTTATAATTGTTCATATGGAAAATACAATAATTAATAAATAATAATACAAGAATAAATTCTGTGTTTCTCCTACACACAACTGTAAATCTACTTTTGCCCCCCCCCCCTTAAAAATGGAAGCATATACTGTGTTTACGGGTAGGAAGAATTAACATCGTTAAGATGTCCATACTGCCCTACCCAGTTTGTTTCAGTGGTTAGAGTGTCAGCCCTTGGACTAAAGGGGTCACGAGTTCGAGTCCCATCAAGGGCATGGCATGTACCTTGGTTGCAGGCTTGATCCCTGGGCCCCATTGGTGCGTGCAGGAGGCAACCAATCGATATGTCTCTCTCACATTGATGTCTCTCTCTCTCCGTCCCTCTCTCCCCCCCCCCCCCTTCCTTCCACTCTCTCTAAAAATCAATGGAAAAATATCCTCAGGTGAGGATTAAAAACAAAACAAAACTGTGGAAGCTCCTCAAAAAGTTATAATGCAATTACCTTATGACCTAGTGATTCCACTTCTGGGTATATATCCAAAGAAACCCAAAACATGAATTCAAAAAGATTTATGCAATCCTATGTTCACTGCAGTGTTATTTACAATAGCTAAGACATGGAAGCAACCCAAATGCCCAGCAAAAGAGGAGTGGATAAAAAAGTTGTGGTAACCCTGGCCGGTTGCTCAGTGGTTAGAGCACTGGCCCTCAGACCAAAGGGTTGCAGGTTCGATTCCCGACCCCCGTCTGGATTCATGTGGGAGCCAACCAACTGATGTGTCTCTCTCGTGTCAATGTTTCTCTTTCTTTCCCCCACCTCCCCCACTTCTATTTTCTCTAAAAATCAATGGAAAAAATATTCTCCAGTGAGGGTTAAAAAAAAAAAAAGTTTTGGTACATACACAAAATGGAATTTACTCAATCATAAAAAAGAAGGAAATCTTGCCATTTGCAACAGAATGGATGGATCTAGAGCAGTGATGGCGAACCTTTTGAGCTCGGCGTGTCAGCATTTTGAAAAACCCTAACTTAACTCTGGTGCCGTGTCACATATAGAAATTTTTTGATATTTGCAACCATAGTAAAACAAAGACTTATATATATATTTTTAAATATATTTTATTGATTTTTTACAGAGAGGAAGGGAGAGAGAGAGAGAAAAAGAAGGAAATCTTGCCATTTGCAACAGAATGGATGGATCTAGAGCAGTGATGGCGAACCTTTTGAGCTCAACCGAGGTACATGCCCTTGGCCGGAATCGAACCCGGGACCCCTCAGTCCGCAGGCCGACACTCTATCCACTGAGCCAAACCGGTCTCGGCTAGACTTATATTTTTGATATTTATTTTATATACTTAAATGCCATTTAACAAAGAAAAATCAACCAAAAAAATGAGTTCGTGTGTCATAGGTTCGCCATCACTGATCTAGAGGGTATTATGCTAAGTGAAAGAAGTCAGACAGAGAAAGACAAGTATCATCTGATTTCACTTTCATGTGGAATCTAAAGAATAAAATGAACCAAAAAAAAACCAAAAAAAAAAACAGAAACAGATTCATAGATACAGAGAACAAACTGATGGTTGCCAGAGTGCAGAGGGGAGAGGAGAGAGGGCTTGGGGTTATAGATGAAAAAGGTGAAGGGATTAAGGAGTACATATTGGTAGTCCCCAAATAGCCATGGGGACGTAAAGTACAGCATAGAAAATATAGTCAATAATATTGTCATACTATGTATAATGCCACGTGGGTACTTGAAATGGGGGGGGGAGCTTGTAAATTATATGATTGTCAGCCACTATGTTATACACCTAAAACTAAAACTAAAATAAAATAATATTGCATGTCAACTATAACTGAAAAATAAAATTTAAAAAAATATGAGTGTTAAACACAAATAATCTTTACAGATTATAATTAACATCTCAAATTGCTCATTTTTCTCTATAAAATCAGAATCGACCAACCATTTAAATATTTACTGAACACTGTCCAACTGGTGTGACTCAGTGGTTGAATGTTGATCCATGCATCAAGAAGTCACAGGTTCAAGTCCCAGTCAGGACACATGCACAGGTTGTGGACTTGATCCCCGGTGGGGGCTGTGCAGGAGGCAGCTGATTGATGTTTCTCTCTCATCAATGTTTCTATCTTTCTCTCTCCCTCTCCCTTCTTTTCTCTCTAAAATCAATAATAAAACATATTTAATAATAGCCCTGGGCAGTGTGCTCAGTGGTTAGAGCACCAGCCTGCGCACCAAAGGGTTGCAGATTTGATTTCCAGTCAAGGACACATCCTGAGTCTTGGGTTCACTCCCTGCCCCTCCCCCTGTCGGGGTGCATGCAGGAGGCAACCAATCGATGTGTCTCTCTCACATTGATGTTTCTCTCTCTCTTTCTCCTTCTCTCCCTCCTTCCCTGCCTCTCTCTCTCTTCCACTCTCTCTGAAAAAGCAATGGGAAAAATATCCTCAGGTGGGGATGAACAAAATACATACATACATAAATTTATTGAATACCTATTATGTGCCAAGGTACTATGCTAGGCTGGAGAGACAGCAGTTTTGCCATTGTAAAGTTCACCAGCTAGTGAGAATAACAGATTAATCAAATGTACATGGAATATAACTGCTATGAAGGCACAAAATAGGAAGAAAATCAGGAAGGATGAGAAGTGACTATGTGCTGGGAGTGGCAGGGAGGGAAGAGTATTTTGGATAGATGAACGGCATGTGCAGTAGTCCTCCGGCAGGAAGGAGCAGGATGTGTCTGCAGAAAGGAAAAGTTAATATGGCTGGAAATGAGAACAAGGGGGCATGGTGTGAAAGGATGATGCTGGCAGAGCCAACTGCACAGTCCTACAGGCTGAGCTAAGGATTATAGTCTTTATCCTAAAGCAATGGAGCCCTGGTCCATGGCTCAATGGTTAGAGCTTTGCCCCATGCACTGAAGGGTCACAGGGTTCAATTCCCGGTCAAGGGCATGCATCTGGGTCGCAGGTTTGATCCCAGGCCCCAGTTGGAGCATGTTCAGGAGGCAACCAATTCATGTGTCTCTCTCACATCAATGTTTCAAAACAAATAATAAACGAAATGGAAAATTTGAAGCAGGTTACTGCAGTGTGAGGAACAGATTTGGAGGGATGGAGAGGGAGAATAGAATAGAATCAGTTATGAGGCTATTACAGCAGTCCAAGCAAGAGATAATAGTTACTTGATCATGACAGTGGTGGTGGAGATGAAGAGAAAAGGTCAGATCTGAGATTCAGTAGGAATTCAAATGGACAGGGTCTGCTGATAGATTTCATGCTGGAAAGGAGAAGTTTCCCAAAGTTTCCAGCTTAGAAAACTGGATAGATGACAGTATCACTACAGAGAAAGGGAACCTGGAAGAGGGCCAGGTTTTGAAAGGAAAGACCATGAGTTCAATATATTAGATATGGCCATGAATTATGGAGATTTGCTACTTTAGTCCCGGAGGGCAAGAAGAAAGGCAGAAAGAAGAAGGAAGTTTTACCTTGATATCAGCTCTGAGCTCAACCAACTGCTCTTCTGACATTCGAACGGCCACATCAGTCATCTTCTTTAGAAGTTCAGCTTTCTTTTGTCGGCTGAGCAAAATTTCCACTGTAGAGGAAAAATGAGTATAACTCTATGTTTTGGCTCAATAGGATAAAGAACTGGAAATATAGGCCTTGCTGTATGTATTTGAAGAGCCAAAGGTCCAGTTTCCACCTTCTTGAAGGACTCTAAAGGCAGTTATAGGTAAAGACTTCATGAAATAAAAGACACATAAATCATTTGTCATTTCTCTTTTTCCTCTTCCCAGGAAAATACATTTTTTATCAAGAAATATAAGTTAACGCCCTGGCTGGTGTGGCTCAGTTGGTTGGGCGTTGTCCCATGCACTGAAAGGTTGCCAGTTCAGTTCCCAGTCAGGGCACATTCCCAGGTTGTGGGTTCAATCCCAGGTGGGGGTCATAAAGGAGGCAGCCTTTCGATGTTTTGTTCTCACATTGATGTTTCTCTTCCTCTCCCTTCCTCTCTCTCTAAAATCAATTTAAGAAACTTTTAAAAGAATCATATAAGTTAAAAAAGAATATGCACACATGCTAAAAAAGACTTACCTAGAATAAAGAGCATGAAATGAAAAGTTAAAGTGTCTCTCCTACTTCTGACTTTGTGGTCCCCTCCTTAGAGGAAACCAGTTTATTTCTTATGTATACTTCCAAATATATTCTATGCATATATAACACATATCTCTCTTCCTTTTTTCTTCTCCTCACTCATGCGAGTGTATCATATACATGGTCCTCCCATTACCTTAGCTATTTTTTTAAAAATAGTTCATGGAAAACTACTTTTTAAAGATATTTTTAAAAATTGATTTCAGCCCTAACCGGTTTGGCTCAGTGGATAGAGCGTCAGCCTGCGGACTCAAGGGTCCCAGGTTCGATTCTGGTCAAGAACATGTACCTTGTTGTGGGCACATCCCCAGTGGGGAGTGTGCAGGAGGCAGCTGATCGATGTTTCTCTCTCATCGATGTTTCTAACTGTCTATCCCTCTCCCTTCCTCTCTGTAAAAAATCAATAAAATATATATATTTTTAAATTGATTTCAGAAAGGAAGGGAGGGAGAGATAGAAATATCAATGAGGAGAGAGAGTCATTGATTGGCTGCCTCCTGCATGCTCCCTAATGGGGATCGAGCCCACAACCCAGGCATGTGCCTTTGACCGGAACTGAACTGGGGACTCTTCAGTCCGCAGGCTGATGTTCTATCCACTGAGTCAAACCGGCTAGGGCTACCTTAGCTATTTTTATTTAATATATCGTGAGGTTCAATTCCTATTAATACATTGGATCTCCCTCACTGTTTAACAGCCACTTAGTAGTCTGATATATGGATATACCATAATAATTTATCAAGTTTCCCTAATGATGGATATTTAGGTTGTTTACAGCCTGTTAAGAAACATGTTTAGCATGCTCCCAGATGTGTAACTCAAATATGACTGAGAAGGACAACAAACAAACTAAAAACCTCTCAGAGTAGAGAACAGAGCCAACAGAGGGCACGGGCAAAAAAAATCCTCCTAGAAAGCAGAACCCGGGGCTGCTAGATAAACCAAGGAAATTTCTCTTCCACCAGGGCAGGGACTCTGCTATTCCTGTCCAGTAAGATTTGATTACTGCTTTTCCAAATGGGAATTTTTACTATAATTCTTACTATAATTATTTCTCTATCAGTATAATATTGGAGGAGGGGGCATTTAATTTTTGTTATAGTTTATGGGGCTCCACACAGCAGTGTGCCATATCCAGACCTGTTAAAAGATCTGAAATTCCCCAGAAGTCCTGAACTTTCAGCTGAGTATACTAAAACTAGATGATGCTTTGGAGGTGATGCCATTGACGAGGTGAGTGTATTCTCATTTGGGGAAAAAGAGAGATATTGGAGGATGGACTATAGCAAAGACTGTTAATGACTGCATATTCATTCTCCTGTTCTTCCTGCCAGAAGTCCAATCTTGTTGGGTATGAAACTATTTAGGCAAAATTCTATATTTCCTGACCCTGCTACAGACAAGACAGTCATGTGATACAGTCTGACCACTGAGATCTAAGCAGAACTCACAGGGCGAGGTTCACAGGAAAGCTCTTTAAAGGAGTCTTAGGCAGCATGTAACATTTTGCCCTTTCTTGACTGGTGCCTCTTTGACCATAAACACACACTAAGAATGTCTGGGTAGAATAGCGGTTCACAACCTGTGGGTCGCAACCCCTTTGGGGGTTGAACGACCCTTTCACAGGGGTCGCCTAAGACCATCGGAAAACACATATATAATTACATACTGTTTTTGTGATTAATCACTATGCTTTAATTATGTTCAATTTGTAACAATGAAAATACATCCTGCATATCAGATATTTACATTACGATTCATAACAGTAGCAAAATTACAGTTATGAAGTAGCAACAAAAATAATTTTATGGTTGGGGGTCACCACAACATGAAGAACTGTATTAAAGGGTTGTGACATTAGGAAGGTTGAGAACCACTGGGGTAGAAGGATAGAGAAGGCTGGGTCTCCCATGTCATTTTGGAGATTCCCTTCAACCCTAGATCACCTTTCATTTCACGAGAGAAAAATAAACTCACATTTATTTAGGCCACTCTGTTAACACGTAATCAAACTCAATTACCAACTGTTATACACAGAATCCTGTAATCTATTGAGAATTAGCCAAATTTATCTTAAAAAAATAGAATTTTCAAAGAGGTACATCAGGTATTACAGCAGGCTGAACCACTTTAGCAAGTTTTCTTAACCTGCTTGCCACATATATGCCACCCACAGGTTGCCCATACCCATGTCAGGTTAATCTGTAAGGACATACTTTCCCAATAAAGTAGAAACATGCCTACAAACACCAAGGACCAACAGCTACAAATGATCTATTGGTATGGCTCTCAAGATAAAAACTTGCTATTTGTATCAAATTCACTTTTTCTCAGCTCCAGATTCTAGGATTCTAAAATGGAGAAAACATGTTGAGTAAAGATTTCTACACATATCAGATTAACTTAGAGAACCTAATTATATGACTTTGAACAAGTCACATTTTTTCCAAATAACTAGTTTTTACATTTATGAAATGGAAAAAGGAAAAGGAAACCCTATCTCATGAAGTTTACATGAAGATGATATATCAGTAAAAAACCTCTGAATTGTAAAGTACTATGAACATATAAATTAATAAAACTATATAGTGTATTTAAAAAAAGCAGCACCTTATTGGTAGTATTGGTAAATGAGTAATTACATTAGTGTCACTGAGGACCAGGATTTTTAGCATGGGAGAAAGGAGACACAGATATAAAATTAATGAAGTTCAGTAAAACTATAGCTCTGAATTTGATAAAATAAGATTCATGAATTGATAACTGGTTGAAGCTGGGCGGTGGGGATTAATTATATTAGCCTCTCTATTTCAAATAGTAAGGACTATGTGTTCTTACTAGATTTATGTTATCTGAACCTTCATCTTAAAAAAAGAACACAGGCTTATGAATGGACTAAAACTGTCACATTTAGAAATTTCAGGATATATCACTCAATTTAAATGAAATCTTACCTCTGAAAAATAGTGGGTAACATCTCTGCTATATATTGAACTTTTCAGGTTAAAATGGATAAAAATTAAATTCAGCTCAGTGCTTCAAAGTTGCCTCCTCTGGTCCATGACCATTGACACAAATGATTTAATTGTGAGCCATCATCTTAACCCATTTCCATTCTTACCAGTTTAAAAGCAGGTTAAAACAAACAACCTTTGCCCAACAGGCATGGCTCAGTGGTTGCGCGTCGACCTATGAACCAGGTGGTCACGGTTTGATTCCTGGTCAGGGCACATACCTGGGTTTTGGCCTCAATCCCCATTGGGGGGTGTGTAGGAGGCAGCTAATCAATGATTCTCTCTCATCATTGATAGTTTCTAACTCTCACTTCCTCTCCCTTCCTCTCTGAAATCAATAAAAATATATTAAAAAAACAAAACATTATTTTTATTTATTTTTTATTCTCACCCAAGGATATTTTTCCATTGATTTCTAGAGAGAGTGGAAGGGAGGGAGGAGAGAGACAGAGAGAAACATCAATATGAGAGAGACACATTGACTGGATGCTTCATGCATGTGCCCCTACCGGGGCTAGGGAGCCTGCAACTGAAGTACATACATGCCCTTGACCAGGAATCAAACTCATAACCCTTTGGTCCATGGGCCAAACTCTAACCATTGAGCAACTGGCCAGGGTAAGAAACAACCTTCTTAATTACAAATTTGGCATTTGATGCATGAAAGTAAAACCTGCTGCTGAAAAGCCCCAAAGTAATGCCACTGTATAAGCTGCAGTTGACTTTCATACAGCTGTATTATTTTTAACTTATACTTATAGAAATTACCAAAAACAGATATCTGATTCTTCTGAATAAAACCCCACAAATTACCCAAGTTAGACTCTATTCCTCCAGAATCTATTTTATAAGCTTTCAAGGAACCCTAGTCAAGGTATCTTGAACCCTCAATCCATCGATTTTCCTCTACCCAAATGATTAGACACTGAGTAAAGACTGTTCTATAAACTGAGAAAAAAAAGTTCTGAGATAGCTAATGACATGAATGTATACACTAAATTGTAGGCAACGTGCAAGTCTCCTCTGATTGTGCCAAAGGAAATCTTCAATCACTGGAGAAAAATAGAATAAAATAATACTCCAGGCACCTGCAGGAGACTTTACTTTCCTAAATTGATGCTGTGGTGGAAGATGACACCATGATGAAGTCTCTTATACATTTAATTTTATATCCAAAATATTAAAGTTTGGAGATATTTTAAAAACAGGCTCTTGTAAAGTTGTTTTGCCTGAAAAAATTCATACATTAATGCAGTACAACTGCTCAAAATTGTTTAATTAAATATATAAACTATTGTGTTGACATTTATTGAGCTTTAGCTATAGGGGTTGAGAAGAAGGACTACTAACTGGTAATGGCTTTAATTAAAGATCAATCTTACTTGCTTCAGCTTTCACTTTGTCCATTTCAGCCAGCAATGCCACTTCTCGGTCCATTAAACTAAGAACGGATGACAAAGGGGGAAAAAAGGTTTGATCAGAAATTCGAAAGAGAGAAACTGCACATTGTAATAGTGGAGAAAGACTTACAGAGTTTGTTCACTAAAAGCATACTACAAAGTAAATACTGTATGAACCATAAGGAAATTGTGTTACCCTCAGTAAAGAATATTTTAAGGATTCTAATAAACAGAATTAATTCCCTTTTATTTCTATGTGTTACAGCACACCAGTAGATGGCAGTAGCAAGCTATCAAACATTTCTTGGTAAATTGTGCTAAAAGCAAAAAGTCCTTATGGAAATTACATATTTCCATATATGTGCTCACATATTTTGGTCCATGAAGTTGGACAGCTTTGGTTCTAATGCGTTTACCAGGCAGTGTCCCTGCGCAGACATGGTGAATTGATCCGTGATTAGGATTTGTAAACCTTCAACATTTTGCCACAGCTGCACTCGTCTCTACTGGCACTTTAATCTTTAGAATGAAGGGTAGTCACATGTGTGCAGGTTTCTGGTAAACATTTACTAGTAATCCAGGAAATATGGAATTAAGTTTTCTGGTAGTCTTTTTACAGAAAAAGAACATTAAATGGACAATTAGCACTTTCTCCATTGCAAATGTAATTGGCATGTATAGCTTTTCTATGTCCTTATAGAAGAGCTCAGATAGCAAGTAGGCTGTCCTAGTATTCCTTTACCATATCAATTTTGCTTAGTGGTAGGGAAAAAATACTAAAAATTTTAATATCTACACAACCATGAAATGTTCCAACTTTCTTCAAATTTGGAAATCAGAATGATTTCTCCTTATGAATGGGAATGAAAGGATCAATAAAAGTTCTACTCTTGTTTCTTGTTGTAAAACCAATCACACACGCACACTAATTCAATTTAGCTCAGCATGTAGTTATGTTAGCACAAAGTAGTTAATAAGGAGACTACAGTATGAAATATACAAAAAGTATAAGGCAGGGACTTTTCCTCAAAGAGCAAAATCCTTTATAGTGATGTGCCAGAGAACACAGGTTTGATAATCATATGCATGATGTTAATAAATAGACTTGTAATGGAACAAATGTGGTTGGCATATTAATCCAAAAGCACCAGACTGGAGAAAAGATATAACTACTGTGGGGTAGCAATACTTTGTTAGGAAAGCATTTCCCAAACCTTGGCAATATTTTGCTCCAAGAACTCTAGCAGCATTTGGAATACCTAAAAGGCAAAACAAAAGCACAACTGAGACAGGAGCTGCCGGGCCTGGAGTTTAACATTACTTCTCTTCTGTCACTAAATCACCATAAGATGCAGACACCATGTCCACCAAATGACAAATTTATCTCTGACAAAGCTTGTAAACTATTTATTAAAAGACTTCAGCAAACACCCTAGCCAGTTTGGCTCAGAAGATAGAGTGTTGGCCTGGGACAGAAGGGTCCACAGTTCAATTCCAGTCAAGGGCACATGCCTGGGTTGTGGGCTCAATTCCCAACTGGGGGTGTGCAAGAGGCAGCCAGTCCGACTATGATTCTCTTTCATCAATGTTTCTATCTCTCTCTCCCTCTCCCTTCCTCTCTGAAATCAATAAAAATATATTAGGGGGAAAAAAAGATTTCAGAAAACAAGTTAGCTTTTGTGATGTAGTTATGTTAATAACATTCATAATAATCTTTAAAAAATACATTATTTTGTTTATTTCAGAGAGGAAGGGAGAGGGAGGGAAACATCAATGATGAGAGAAAATCATTGATTGCCTCCTGCATGCCCCCTACTGGGTATCGAGCCCACAACCCGGGCATGTGCCTTTGACCAGAATCGAACCGGGTACCCTTCAGTTTGCAGGCTGACACTCTATCCTCTGAGCCAAACTGGCTAGGGCTCATAATAATCTTGATTAAGAAAAGTTGCCCTAACCGGTTTGGCTCAGCGGATAGAGCATTGGCCTGCGGACTCAAGGGTCCCAGGTTCGATTCCGGTCAAGGGCATGTACCTTGGTTGTGGGCACATCCCCAGTGGGGAGTGTGCAGGAGGCAGCTGATCGATGTTTCTCTCTCATCAATGTTTCTAACTCTCTATCCTTCTCCCTTTCTCTCTGTAAAAAATCAATAAAATATATTTTAAAAAAAAGAAGACTGTCACATGACCTTGCTTTTAGCAAGGAAAAAAAATAATCTGCACTATCACAATCAGACTGTTTTGTGGCATTTATGAGCTAGTATGTTGCAATGGTACTTTTATTTCCCCCTGAGAAAAAGCATCCACTTAAATAAACTTTGTTGCTTTATTGACTCATTGCCAATCATAAAAAATTTATAGGGCAGCATATGGACAACCATACAAGCACTCCATTAAAAAAATTAGTCTAACCCGGCTGGTGTGGCTCAGTGGTTGGCCATCGACCCATGAACCAAGAGGTTACTGGTTCAATTCCGGTCAGGGCACATGCTGGGATTGCAGGCTCAATCCCCAGTAGGGGACATTCAAGAGGCAGGATGATGCTGTTACTCTCTCATCAATGTTTCTATCTCTCTATCCCTCTTCCTTCTTCCTCTCTCTTTAAAAATTAATAAAAACATTAAAAAAAAAATTCTAGCCCTGGCCTGGTGGCTCAGTTGGTTAGAGTATCATCCTGTACACCAAAAAGTCACGGGTTTGATTCCCAGTCAGGGCACATACCTAGGTTGCGGGTTCAGTCTCCAATAGGGGCTCATACAAGAGGCAACCAATCAATGTTTCTCTCTCTCTTGAATCAATAAACATATCCACAGGTGAGGATTAAAAGTATTAGTTTGCATTTTTATGTCAAAAAATGTTGACAAGGAATAAGTACTTCTATTTTTTTTCCACGTTGCCATCTTTTTTTTATTTTAACTCCCACCCGAGGATATTTTTCTACTGATTTTTATTTACTTATTAGAGGCCTGGTGCACCAATTCATGCACATTGAAAGGAAATTAATTAGAAGAAATATTTTAATATTGCTATTCGCCCTTTCTCTATACTAGAACTGTCAACCAAATTCACGATGGACAATGACAGATTGAAACACATGCGTGCGATTGGCACCAAGAGCTTTATATGTATCGTGCATGTGCGAGTCAACTTAGCCTTTTATATATATACTAGAGGCCTGGTGCACAAAACTTTGTGCACTCGGGGGGTCCCTCATCCCCTCAGGGGATGTCCACCTGCTGGCTTAGGCCCGCTCCCCAGGAGATCGGGCCTAAGCTGGCAGTCAGACATCCCTCTGGGAGCCCGGGAGCCCTCAGGGGATGTCCACTTGCCAGCGGGGAGCAGGCCTAAGCTGCAGTTGGACATCCTTAGCACTGCTGAGGAGACGGGAGAGGCTCCCGTCACCACCGCTGTGCTGGCAGCCGTCAGCCTGGCTTGTGGCTGAGCAGAGCTCCCCCCTGTGGGAGCGCACTGACAACCAGGGGGCAGCTCCTGCATTGAGCGTCTGCCCCCTGGTGGTCAGTGTGTGTCATAGTGACCAGTCATTCCCAGTTGTTCTGCTGTTAGGGTCAATTTGCATATTACCCTTTTAGTATATAGGATAGAGGCCTGGTGCAAGGGTGGGGGCCAGCTGGTTTGCCTGAAGGGTGTCCCGGATCAGGGTGAGGGCCCCCCTGGGGTGCCTGGCCAGCCTGGGTGAGGGGCTGATGGCTGTTTGCAGGCTGGTCAAGCACCCCCCCCCCCGGGGACCCTCACCCATGGGGGTGTGGCCAGCCTGGGTGAGGGGCTGAGGGCTGTTTTCAGGATGGCCACACTCCCTTCAGGGTGGGAGTCCCCACTGGGTGGCTGGCCAGCCTGGGTGAGGGGCTGATGGTCGTTTTCAGGCTGGCCATGCCCCCCCCCCCCCGCCCCCGGCGACGGCGACTCAAGCTCCCAGCCTCTCCTTTTTTCTTTTTCTTTTTTTCAGCACCTCCTTGAGCCAAGGCCAGGGCGGGCTGGAAGCAGTTATCTGGGATTTATTTATCTTCTATAATTGAAACTTTGTAACCTTGAGCGGAGCCCAGGGCCGACCAGGGCAGGCGGGAAGCTTGGCTTCCTCCATCACCAGGGGCAACCCAAGCCTCCTGCTCACTCCAGCTCCGTGGCCGCCGCCATCTTAGTTGGGTTAATTTGCATACTCGCTCCTGATTGGCTGGTGGGCATGGCTTGTGGGTGTAGCGGAGTGGCAGAGTGATGGTTAATTTGCACCTTTCTCTTTTATTAGTGTAGATAGAATAAACTTGCTTAATTAGACCTGCTTTCTGATTTAGCTAAACTTTTTCCAGCCCAGTGAAGCACCTCAACTTCTCTTTCAGGTAATTGACAGCAACACAGCAGTAAATATCAACATGAAGCAGATTATTATTATAGGTCATGCAGGGAGAACAAAGGGTAAAATATTTAACTCTAGCAGTGTTTGACTATATTCTGCACAGTGAGTAAACCTGAAATCATTTTCAAGGTCCACCATTTCTTACTTCTTTTCAGTCAGGTCAAGTTTCTAAACTTTCTAAATCTCCATTTTCAGGCTAATAAAAAGAAAATAGGATTCTACCAAGTCTCCTATCTACCTAGTCCAGGACTCCTGTGAGGATCAAATGAGATGAGGCACGGGAAAACGCTTCACAGACATTTGGTTAAAGTGTGAAATGTTTGCACCTGGCTATAAAGCAAGTCGTGTTCCTGGGCTGAAGAAACTCCAAGGAAGCTAGTTGCTAGGGAGAGGAAGCCAGGTGTTGCTACATGACATCATTACCTGGCGCCCACAGCGACCATTTCAGGGCCACATTTTGCGCCATGGGGTCTCGACAGCGTCGGCTGCAATTTGGTGGGCTGTTGTTCTGGGGTGGTGGTGGGGCCTGTGTCACACTTGGGGGGAAGCCGAGTGATGCTTTGTGGGCACCAGGTCCATGGTGTCATTTATTGTTAAATGGCCTGTTGCTAGGGAGAGGAAGCTGGGTGTTGCTACGTGATGTCAGTACCGGGCGCTCACAGCCACCGTTTCC